GTTTTATTATTATGTGCATTTACATGTAGATATGTAGCTATAAAATGTCCAAGGATATACACCAAAATATAATGTCTCCACGGGGGGTTCTTTTTCAGTTTTCCTTAGCTCATTTTCAAATTCTTCCACAATGAACTTGTGTCATAAAGAAATAATAGAAATGCGAAATGTTTACAATGCACGAACTGGAACGCTGGTGTCTGCCTGGATCCAGGGGGCTTTTTTTACTGGTGCCAAGTTCATCTGCAGGTTGCTTAGAGAATGAGGAACCCAAGCAAAGGACTAAGAGGTTTTGAAAGATTTAATTCTGGCTCTGGAGGAGTCAGTTAATACCTTTCTCCCTCTCTCTCCTCCACAGTGTGAACTTCTGTCTACTTCTCTCCACCAAGCAACATAGCCAGGTGCTTCTTCCTAGGGGCCCTCCTGGATTGTATGAGGCCCACTCTCTTCTGATTCCTATTTGTTCTTCAGGCAGACTACAACTCTGCTGATCAGGCCAGGCCTTCGTAACCACAGTCTTCATATTCCAGTCACGCTCCTGAGACACCCTGGCCATCTTGATCAGGCGTAGGTGAACCCCAAGCCCAGCCACCGGTTGGGACACAGGGCATCTTAGACAGAACGCTTCTTCCACGGCCAGCTCGTTGCGTTTCTGGCATGGTGAGTCATTCTGGTTTCAACCCAGAACATAATCTTATTTCCAGGGAGTAAGGGCACCTCCCCGTTACTCTCTGATTTATAATAATAACAAAGCAAAGCTACTATGTATTGGCACTTATGCACCAGACACTGTGCTGGGCATGGTCTCGCTTAAGCCTCAACAACCCTGTGACTCTGGTGTTTTCATCGCCACGTTACAGATGAGAAAATCTAGGTCAACTTGCCCAAGGATATGCAGCAAGAAAGACTGGGCCCTGTCTCTGCAGTCCACAGGTCTTCTCACTCCGTTTATAAGTGAGGAAACTGAGTCTAAGTTAGTCACTGAGGGTCTCATTCACTCAAGTTCATGGGGTTTGCAAGCAGGAGAGGCTACCATTTGAACATCTCCCTGATACCCACCCCCTCCCCGACTCATGCCCTGACCTACTCCCCACCCTCCCCTCCCCCACTTGTGCCCTGAGACTGTCCTCACTCCCCACTCCCCTACTTGTACTCCACACTACAGCAAATACTTGTGGTAGTTCCAAGAATCTGTAAGAATGTGCTCTCTTGCCCTGGGGCCTTTGGACAGGCTGTACCTTCCCAGGCATTTGCCTGGCATGGACCTACTCATCTAGATGTAACCTTCTCCAGGAAGCCATCCCTGACTACCCTAATCCAGGTACCCTCTTAGGTGCTTCCTTGGTTCATCCTTGCATGTATCACATGGCATCGTGGCTGCCTGTCTGCCAGTCTGCAAAGCCTCAGCGAGGACCATGTATGCTGATGGTTGCATCCTTAGCCCTCAGCACGGTAGCTGGCACAGAGCAGGTACTCAGTAAGCATTTGTTAAGTGAATGCTTGACTATCAGAGCCTTGTTTTTCTTTGTTTGGAGGATACAGCTTAGGTGCACTAAGTGGGAGGATATAAAATGACAGAAATGTGGCTTCCTGTATATCCTTAAGAGGAGGCAGCGGGCAGGTCATCTGGGGCTCAGTGCGCGGATGCTAAAACCATGGTGTCTTCCTTGCTAAAGCAAAGTCCCAGGCTACGGTTTTCTCACTCCCAGTCAGAAACAAATCATGTTCTGAGTGACTGGAGTCATTGCTCACAGCACTAGGAGCTGGTTTGGGGGGGGTGAGGGGCAGTGGCCTTGGGGCTCCAGTCTCCAAAGGCCCAGGCCGCCGGGCTGGGGGGAGGGGTGAAGAGTGGCAGGTCCTGTCCCCGGGAGGCTGCAGTCACAGGGGAAGAGACAATGGGGCGCAGCATCTGCTCCTCGCTGGGAGAAGGGACCCTCCAGTGAAAAGCCGGGGAGAGCAGGGAAGTGTGGGAGGAATTGATGAGAAGGGGTGGAGCCAAGGAGATGCAGCCGGGAGGAAGGAAGAGAAGGGGAAGGAAGAGAGGAGGGAGGGGAGAGGCTCCAGGCCTTCCTTCCTCTCGATGACCTGGTCCTGAGCTGTAGCCTCCTCTGGCATTGTTTCCTGCGGAAACTCTCGGGGCCCACAAAGGCCCCACGTTTCTCCCCACCCCCTGGCAGCAGCCACAGCCCAAGGGCCAGGCATCCAGCAGGTGCTCAATACTCACTTGAGAAAAAGAGAAATGGGGCCAACTTTGCTCTGGGAACTTTTCCCCTGTCTTCTCCCCACTTCTGCGGAGAAGCTAAGGGCAGAGCAGGTCTTGGGAGCACGCCCGGGCGCCACATGAATAATTGACCCTTCGTGGCGGCTCTGCCCGGTTCTGTCCGAGGACTCCGGACCGGCCCAGCGTCGGAGTCGAGAAGCGGCTCGGAGTGGCGGGCGTTCTGGAGGATGGAGGCCAAGGGTCCCACCTGCCCGGGAGCTGGAGGGAGGCAAGGCTGTGCCCAGCCCCGCGACCCTGCAGGGAGGCGCCAGGGGCCTGACCCCCACGCGGAGAGCGGCCACGCCTCGGCGCCCCCCAGCAGTGAGCCTGGGGCCGGGGCCGAGGCCCAGGCCCCGGGACTGGAGCGCCCCCGAGGCCCGATCCCAAAGGCTCCGCCGAGCCCCTTCCCCAGCCGGGCCCTGGCGCTCAGAGCCCGCGCCGCTCCCTCGAGTCTGCCGTCCAGGGCTCTGCAAACAGCTGGTTAAAGGCTCTTTTACAGTTCAGTGCTCTGCGGGGATGTTTGCTCCAAGCCCATCTGCCTACTTGAAAAATACACAAGTGAGGAACACACCCAGCCTCCACCTCTGGCTGGGGAGGGGCGCCCGCCGCGGCCCCCACCCGCACTTCGGAAGGAACCCGCACCCAGCCGCGGCCCCCACCTCGCTGACACTCCTTTCGGGAGGACGCCCCAGGCTTCCCACGGGGGGGGGCCAAGTTCCCGGGTCCCCTTTGTGCCGGGCCCCCCATTTCCATGCGAGCTTCTGACGCTCCCCCTTCCCCCCGCTTCAGTTAATCTTTGTTCCCCTTTTCTGCTGAGAGGAGAAAAAAAAAAAGAGAAAGAAAGAAAAGGAGGAAAAAAGGCGTGACTTGATTTTCAAACGAAACTCCCACAGCAAACAAAACCCTTTTAGAAAAATAAAAAAGGAGGAAGGAGGAAGGGAAAAAAAGGAGAGAGAAAACCCTGCAGGCTTTCAATTTGAGTGGGAGAGTTGAACCGAAAGAAAGAGAAAGAAAGGAAGAAAAATCCTCTCTGCGGTAGAAAGAGAAAAGAAAACTTGGGCTGACAGGAGGGGGTGTTGGGGGGGTGGAAGGAAGTGAGAAAACAAAAGAGAGATAAAAGGGCTGCTTTTCTGTCTCTCTCTTCCTCTGCGAGCTGGGTTAGGAGGAGCTGTTTTGCATCCCTTCACGTCAGCCCTGCCTCATTCCCTTCTTCCAGGGAGGGAGAGAGAGCGAGCGAGCGAGCGAGCAAGAGAGAGAGAGAGAGGGAGGGAGAGAGAGGGGAAGAGAGAGAGAGAGAAAGAGAGGAGCCGGAGGGAGGGCGGCAGGAGCAGGCGGC